CTGCGGTGAAGATGATATCCTGGACCGTAGCGACGTTGTCGGAGCTGCTCGATGTTGGAGGTCTTCCAGATCAAGAGTACCGTCCCAGGTCCATGGGTGACTCCGATACAAGAAGTTTCGCAGCTGTTTGGAGGTGACGTGAATTCCATAGGCCTTCTCCAGTCAGGCTGCGATTGGAGATGGCTTCATGGTGTTCATGAAGGATGAGGACGGAGCCTGCTCCTGCTTATCGAGGAACATCTTGGGTATCTTCCGCCCTGGTACTCGTATCCACGTCTTCTCTCTGGGCTGCGTATCCTTTCAGTGATATGTGAATCGGGCAAAGTGTCTTTTTTGCCTTCCCTGTACAGCGTGTGCTGCGGATGATGGAGCATGTCAGCGCAGCTGGGTTTGGTGCGCCGCCAGCTCCTTCTCCACCAGTCTTTGAGCGAGAGCGACAACATTAGCTGGGAAGCGTCAGATACGAAATTTATGACACATTCTCGTCGCTTGCTGAAAAAAAAAACAAAAGAAAAGGGCTGGCGCCGCGCCAATTTCAGCGTCTCCTCCGAGAGAAAAGCAGTTGTCGAAATTTCATGACTCAAAAGAAGGCAGAGGCTGATTTTGTTCACAGTTGACTTACCCAGTCGGTCTTACCCACATTATCGTTATGGCTTATTAGTCTTGATTACGTTACGTCACGATTATCGAGTTTTGTGTACATTTGGTTCCGCTTCCTCAGTTATTCGTGTTAACAATAGAGAAATATGCTCAAAGACAGTCAAAAAAATTGCCTTCAAATGCGCTCTGTACCCTGAAAAATGGGGTGCTTGTAGTAGCATCCTGGCTTCTATATAGGTACTATTAACTATAAATAACTGTTACTTTGATCTCTAATGCAATCAGAAGTCGAACAGCTAAACCAAGTCGAACGTGCTAAACAGTAAGCAGTTCTTTGTAAGACGCGACTATAGGCCTATTCAAAGTACTCTGTTCGAAAAGATATGCGATCTGTTGCAAGAGTTAACTTCGTAAGCGAACACATGTCTCTTTTTGAGTTCTCTAGAAAAACTGAATATGGCTGGTGGTGCCTGCCAACTTGTCGGATATGTGCATCTATCACACCTCGCTCACTAGCATCTGAATTTTTATTCCAGGTCAGGAAGTATCATAGGCGCTGTTGTCGACGGGGCGGGGGGGCATTTTGCACTTTAACGACTTCCCATCGACGTGTCGACCCATCTAGACAGCCTCGTCTCGAGTTGACAGGTTTTACCATGATGGCTTGACGAGCTTGCTCCAGCTTCACAAGAGTTCACAGGTTTTTCACCAGGGTGAGACTTGTAAACCAGAACTAGTGAAGCAACGAAAGTGCAAATGCCGGCTAATGCCGTTTGGACTCCAGAAATTTCGGCTCGAGCTCATTTTAAAAGTGGCAAGATCACCAAATCCGCTAAAAACTTGTATATAGGGGTAATTCAACATCCTGATCACGAATATGACATTCATTTTGGCGCTGGCGCTAACGGATGACACTACGTTACCAGCGCTCTGCTAAGGAGAGCCCAGGAGGTAATCGTAGTGTTCTCTCTTGGCGCCAGCGCCAAGAATGAGTGTCATACTCGTAATCAGGATGTTGAATTACCCCTATATACAAGTTTTTAGTGGATTTGGTGACTTAGGCAATTTGAAAATGAGCTCGCAGCCGAAAGTTTCTGGAGTCTAAACCGGCATTTAGCCAAATGGCCCTCCCGTCGGTAATACAGCAGATAATAAACTGCACTATTTTCATTCCCAGGTCAACACTTTACAAATCGGATCCAACATGCTTCATATAAATTTCGACATTATTCAAGCCCAAAAAAATTAGTTGTTCTCATAGAGCAGGATGGTATAACAGCACTTCTTTTGTAGAACAATTGTGATCCTCTCATAGCGAAGTGATTTTTTTCTGAACTGAACTTGCCGTCAGGTGGGCATGTAGTAATGGAGCTTGAACTCATACTCGCCGACAAGATTAGTTCGCCTTGTCTTGCAGTGCGCTTTCTGTGAAGCCTTTACGTGGAGGGTGGGTCTGGTTATGAGGTCATAATAAGGAAAGCCACTTTGTTCGTGGAGAATACGCGTGAAGATATTATCACACGGGATGACGGGTGAATGTACACATTCTCTAGACATATACAGCTGCGAAAAAAAAACTTGGAACAAGCCAAGACATCGGAATTTCCCATCAAAGTACTACTTGATTTTCTTTGACTTGGTGTACCGAAATGTTATTGAGTTGGATATAGATAGAATAGAACTGGAAGAACTGTTTTCAAATCAGTAAAAACCCCTAATCAAACGCAGAAGTACGTGGAGACTAAGTACGAGTTCTCGAGGTCATCATCTAGATGACAAAGTGACCGAATGAAGGCTTTCATCTCAAGCCCATCAGGCTTTTTAAGATGACTATTCTCTGAATCCGTCAAAGCAGCATGTCTGGCTGTTTGAGGCTCAGCTTGTCCTGTAGACGCGAATCCTAGCAAAAAGTAGCCATGAATCAGTTCGACTTTGGATGATTGTGTCTACTTGAACTGCACTGGACGTTGGCAAGAATTTTTATTCGACTTTGCAGGGAGCTGGAAGCTAGTGTCTTCACCCCTCTTACCGACATTCTCTATTAAACTACACAAAGGGCTCATCTGTGGGAACCTGCGCCATCTGGTTTAAGGGGGGATAGCGCATTTTGCACTTTCGCCGTTTCCTCGTGTCAGTTCATGTCAACAAAATCGCCTAAGCGAGATCTTTCCATTTGATAGCTGCGAAGTGTTATGGATGAGCCATCCTGGTCACAGGAGTTTCATAGGTCTTGGAAACGTGACCTGTACAAGGTCCGCTTACTTGATGTCCCCACCAAGCCAAATTACGCCCCTCCCCTCCCCAGCGGCCAAGTACGACCACCCCCCCCATGGGTTTCGCACGGGGTACGGAGCACTGTTCTTTTGTGCTAGGCCTCTCTCTCTCGCTGCTAGGGCGACGTATCATCATCTGCCCCACCCCTTCGTGATCTGACTTATCGCGCCACTTGCTTTTGAAGGCCCACCTACCGACGCTCAAAGCAACTCGTAGGTGTCGTTCCTGATGCAAATAGTCTACCTCATTCTCTGAGATCACATTTTCTGCGTCCTCACAGCAACTAAAGAGGGCGCTGTGGCCCTCATAAGCGGCAGCTCTGACGCCTTCCTAGTTGTCCCGTCAACCAGAACTCAAAAACTATTTCCTGTCACGAAATTTCATTTGGATATATAATAATTTTCGCGTTTTTTGTTTAGGCTTAGATGACATCAGCCATTAGGTGACATTCAAAGCAACCATGCGAGTAAGCTCGAGGGCCAGGGATATCCCTTCGGTGGCACAAAAACGACATAGGTTAGAAGAAGTCGCTCAGACGATGAAATTCCCCCTGGTCTTAAAACTATCTAGGGTAGACATATGGGGTTCTTTTCGACTCTTTTCTTACCTGTCGGAGAGTCATTTGGACGACTATAGCTTCTCGACCTGAACGGCTAGTATCCGTCGGATTATGCGCACGATCACGGATTGGCCCTGCTGAGAATCAGCCCAGTCTGGACGGAAGTGACTCCTCTTTGCGTTTGAAGTGGGATAAGCCAGACGGACAGTCGGCGGTAGAAAGGATTGCACGAGGATATGATACAGGTTTTTCGTAGCGTTGCCGTAAAAGAAAAAAAATAGGTTGGAAGGAAAGTCCTGTCAGTGTTCCCTTTAGAAGCTTACAATTTTTGAGTCTCGATGCTTCGAGCATGAGGTTATATGCCATGCTTGTAGAAACATTCTAAGAGCTTTCGTGCAAGGGCGCCTGCTTTTCCCTGGGTCTAATTACGATTTTAGTTTCACAGGAGCATCTTCGCTAAAAACCTCGGTCGGGACTCCTCAACGAAGTGAAAGGCTCCACCGTTCTCTTGAAGCTGTCAAGGAGGATCCGGAGGATACCACTTGCAGTCTTGCGACAAGACTCGGATATACCTAACTGATAGTCGTCAGCGCCTGTAGCCCTTGACTACCAAAAAGTACTGGCTCGATGGATCACCCATACCTTGACGGATTGGCAGGCCTGGTACCCCTTGGTGAGTCTCCCCTTCTTCGCCCTTGTCAGAAGGGGTTTCTAGGAGACTGCTTAGTGGACATGAGAGATAGGTCCTCTGTAATTTCAACCCACATTAGTAGCGCCGCGGGCGTGGACGGTATTGCGGCAACGAGGTGTCGGTCTTCTCGAAGGAGCTGCGACCCATCCTAGCCAGGTTTCAACAGCGGCATTCGTTCCGAGAAGGTTCTTTCTTAGTGCTGCGGGACGCAAACGGCAATTGCTGACTAACAAGCAGAGTGGGAGAAGCACACTCGGTCATCGCTACCATTTTATATCGCCCCCTTCAGCTCCTGCAAACTAGCGTGGTAGATGGGAACGGTCGGAGAAAAGTGACCGAGCTTCGGGTCACCTCTTTCGTAGTACGCGAGACCCCATACCTGCTATGGAGACCTACCAAATAATTGAGGAGCAAGGCTGGGAAGACCAGTCCCCGCTTATCATATTCTCCTGACGTAGTCCCCTAAGACTGCTACCTGCTCCGCCTCCTTAGGGCTTTCTTAAGAAAACTTTCAGCAACTTTGATGACATCAGTCGAAAGGCCGCCGACTTACTCTACTCGCAGCCTCCTTAGTTCTGGGAGGAGGGAAAGGCTCACCTGTCCATTAGGTAGAGCACTATAGTGGCTAACTATGACGAGTATATTGTTGACTAATTCCCACTGTATGTTGAGTTAGAAAATAAAAAAAAAAAGTCACAACAGTGACAAGACTTTTCTTCCAACCTATAGAAAAGAAGGGGGGTTGGCGCGACGCCAAACCCGCGCCGTCTGACATGCGCCATCATCCGCGAACTCTGTAAATGTCTATAGACACTTTCTTCCCCATTCCTTTCCCTTTCAATGCCAAGTTATAGATTGTAGACTGATCGTAGATTCATGAGTGAGCAGGCGAAAATTGCTTATTTACAGAACGAAAAGGAGGAGCAACTGGAAGTAAGTGCTTGGCTAAGGTTTATGTGGAGAGATGAGAATCTCCGATGGCAGCCCAGTGTTTACGACAATGTTACGGATCTGCGACATCCAGCTGGAACACTTTGGCAACCGGACATCCTTCTCTACAACAGGTGCTTCTTACTGTAACTTTTATTGTGGCTTTTTACATTCCATGCAATCTGGCCGGGAACATTACCTGATTTTTCAGTGTTGATCCCGCCTTTGATTCCATGTACAAGGTTAACCTCCTCAACTATCATGATGGCTCAGTGAACTGGGTGCCGCCCGGGATATTCAAAATCTCATGCAAGCTTGACATTTACTGGTTTCCTTTTGACGAACAGTTTTGCTTCTTCAAGGTGAGTGACTCATAGCTGAATCGTGTACATGTGACCATATCTCAACCAGTGACGTTGCAGTTCGGCTCATGGTCATTTAGCAGGGACAAAATCGAGCTGGCTGTTGGCGACTTCGACTTCTCTGAGTACATTCCCAACGGGGAATGGATTATTCTCAGTTAGTTTTGATTTCTATTCCTCGTTATATTGCTTGAAAACCAAGACGATTACCGCTCAGACTCCATGGCAAATGTTTCCGTGAAGTACTACGAATGTTGCCCGGAAGCTTACGAAGATATCAAGTTCACACTA